ATTATCATCCACACTGCAGTCGGTGTGCAGTAAATGGCACCCTCAATGGTGTGAAATCCTTACATACAGTCATTGAGCAAACGATACTAACTTCGTGAAAACGCCCATGAGGCAACGACACAATGATTCGCTTCAAACATGTTTTTCTAGCAAAAACTGAATAATGGCGATGAGCCAAATATAATTCTAAAGATATACTGCAATAGTTCACTCCAGTGGAAACATGGACCATTTTCATTACCCAACTAAAATATATTTGGTAGGCTAATAGTGCAATGTAAACATGTTCACGAATGCATTTAGTAACGTCAGACATTTCTGACCCGAAACATTTGTAGCTGCAGCCTTCCTTATACAGTAAATGGCTGCAGCTCAGCCTATCTGGCAACCCGGATCACGATACAGTACTGACTTCGCGATTGGACGCTAGGCAGAAGGTGGCGCAACAGACCAAAACACAAAATGAAAACAAAACAGTTTTCCTGGCACAGAAATATTGCGTTTGAAATTAAATATTCTGGCTGGACTACTATTATGTCTGACATAAATACTTGAAATTAACATGATTCCTCAATGTCTAGTGACATATTAGGGTCATTTTATGATTACTTTGAGTACATTTCTTACATATAGCTCCTTTAATGGATCATTATAAAATGTATGCTTTAATTTTTCTTGGCTGCTTGTCACATAAAGCAAGCGTGTTGGCATTTGTTATCATTCATGACATTTTCTAGACTAAATGATTAATTGAAAAAATGACCGTTAGATTAATCGACTATGAAATAATCATTAGTGGCAGCCCAAACTGGGACCTTGTGAATGGGAATCGAATCAATTCGGGAAACGAGTGGCAATACCCAGCCCTAGACACCAGCTGATAAACAAGCAGCCCTGCCTATTGCATAACATATATTTATATCTTACTTGTGAGCAAAGTCCTTGGGCGGCAGCGCTGCCTTGATGATCTCCAGGATCTTGGAGAGGTAGGGCTGGATGTCTACCCTGACAGCCACCACCAGGAGGCCCAGGGCCTGGAAGGCTGCGGTCCGCTCCTTCTCCTTCTTTAGGCAGCCCAGCAGGTAGCACATGGTGTCTGGTAGGTACTGGTCTGAGAGGGGTAGCAGGACTCAGGACGATCATTTTTAATTCAAATGTATTTTATACGGTCCTAATTCATGGCAGGTAGTTAATTAACAATGCCAAACAATGGCAGACTACTATAGGTGCTTGGCTGAAAGGTTATATCCCTGAGTCGGTGTTTGGCTAGAAGCAATCAAACTGTAAATGTGATAGGCTAGAAGGAATCCACATCGGCAGGTGATTGGCTGGTGAAATCTACCCGTGAAGGTGATTGGCTGGAAGGGATTCTACCTTTAAATGCTATTGGCCTGAACGAACCTACCTGTGCGGGAGGTAATCTGTGAATGTGAATGTGTTTGACTACAATAAATGTACCTGTGAAGGTGTTTGGCTGGAAGGTGTCTCCATGTGAATGTGATTGGCTGATAGGACTGTACCTGTGAAGGGGATTGGCTTGAAGGCAGCGAGGCGGGGCAACAGGTTCAGTATCGTCATCTGGATCAGAGGGTTCTTAGTGGTCCGGTATTTCAGCACCCATCGACACACCTGACACATAACACGACAGAGAGGGAAAACGCATTCAGAGGTCATCACCTAATACATCTACTGTTCATTTTATATGAATAGAAGAACATTTCTCCTGAAAACCTGAGTATACGATATACTGTAGACAGCCAAACACATTACAGTATAACTAAGCTTACAGCTTAGTTATACTGCTGCTGACCTAGGGTTGCTCTGTTTGTGATGCCTGTAAACACAACCAGCTGCTACCCATAACACAGCTGACATCATGAGCAGGAACATCACCTTAGCAGTCCTGTGTAGACCCCATGTCATACCAGCATAAGCGTGTACAAGCATAACCTAGTTCCAGCTGATGATTACATTGTTCAGTTATGACCTCCTACACAGTGACATCGTGAAGTCAGCCTTCTTAACTGAAACTCAACCTACACTCGCAACTCCACAACTGGAACCAACATGTCGTGGTAGCACTACTCATAGACCTGTATACATAGACGCCACACTGACTGCTTCGGCCCATTGCTGCGATACGTCAATGTCGCCGCCATATTGGAGAGGCCAAGACTGGCCTGTAAACAAATGCAAGTAAACAGGGGAGCTGCATTCATTCTGGTTAAAAAGCAGTAACGTTTACATTTCTCAACCAATTTCAATGAGTCGTTTTTATATTCAAGGGTTTATGTTGTGCAGTACAAAATAACTTTTTGTCTCCAGTTACTTTATTGTGGACTCCACCTAGATCATAACATGTCTACTATGGCTGTACCTGGTCGAAGCGCTCCTCCATCAGCTCCCGGCAGTAGCGGCTCTCCACCAGGGAGTTCTTGGCGACGGTGGGCGTGGCGCCGAAGCTGAGGAAGCCCTGCGGCGAGCTGTACCCCAGCAGGCCCAGCAGGGCGTTGGTCTGCTGCGGCTGCACCGACTGGAAGCTGATGAAGGGTGTGATGTGACGTGGCTTGGTGCCGAAGCCCATTAGCTCCTTGCAGTACTTGTCGTGGACAAGCTGCTGCTGGGTGATGTCCTCCATCTCCTCCCGCATTCGCTGACATTGGGGGGGGAGGGGTGAAAAATACTTTCAAGCTCTAAAGGACACACAAGTTACATACCATTTACAAATGCAGAGCTAGGGATGTAATAGGCACCAGAGAGAAAGTCGTTGGGAATTGAAATTGTCATTTAGCAGATGCCGTTATCCAAAGCTTGTATGCGTCATTAATGAGCTTGATGAATACACGCTGAAGAAGGGCATCTTGCCCGAAACGTTCGTGTGGCAATATTACAAAGTCAAATTGGAGTGCTGTCCTAGTGTTTAATTATTATGACATTAAGGATCCCAGTCTTCAAGGTCTAATCGTGAGTTTAGTTTTATTTTTCTGGTAGGGGTGAAGGCCTCTCCCCCAAAGAATGCCTACAGGCAGACTGTGGGGACTTTGGTCTCGGAGTCCTACACCCTAACCCCCAGACCATCCTGCTCACCTCTCCCTCCATGCTGCTGATGCGGACCAGCTCATTAAGGATGAGCAGGGCTCCGTGGACCCGGTCGTCGCGGTTCATCCCCTTCTCCTTGGCCAGCGTCTCGTCGAAACCCTTCTCTGCCTCCTCAAACGTTTGCTATTCACACACAACAGGAAGTTAAACAAGATTGTTGGCTAGTAACTCCCACTAATATTATGGAAAACATGGTTGCTTTATATTAAAAATGAATCTCTTAATCTCTATCAGGACACCCAACAAGTTCCAGGAGGTGGGTAACATTGTAACCAATAGGAACGCTGTTCATAGTCAGTAGTAGATACACCGACGATCTCTGATCAATTCAGCCCATGAAGACACACTTTAGTACATTTTTATCCCTGCTATAAATATTTACATATTACATGTTATGGAAACAGGATACGCTCTGAGCGCCAAATTCACCGCATCTGAAATGCAAAAAAGTTCCCCCCTGAATTGGACCGAGTCTATCGAACTACAGGTGTGAAACCAAACCATCACAGGACAACACACAGAAGTCCACAAGCCAGCGGCAGGGAGCCCTGGCGGTCCTCACCTTGTACCACTGGGGCTTCTGCATCTCCTTGGTCTCCCGCTGCGTGGTCAGTATGAGGCAGGCACGCAGGGCCGACACCGCCCCCTCCCGAATGGCTTGCTTGGGGTCCCACACGGCATAGAAAATGTTGTCGAAGAAGGGCTGCACCTGCTGGAAGAAGAAGGTGGGCGCGCTCACCGCCAGCTCCCGCAGCACCAGCACCTTGGGGTGGGGGGACACAAGGGAGAGAGGGGGTCAAGTTGTGGTCCTGGTGATGTAACCAAGCACATTCACATGAATAACCCAAAAGAAAACAATTTGATTGAGCATGAATCCATAATGACATGTGCATGGATTTACTGCAAAAATGTCTGAATGTCCTACTTAAGACCTTTCTTAAGCCATTTTCCATTACAGTAGACAACAACAACAACAAACAGCGAGAAAACTCTGGCAATAAGAGCAGGCAGGGCTCTGTGTGTTCTGTTATAGCACTATAAGAACATAGTGATTCAATAGCCAACTGCACTTGACTTCCACCAATAATCTTTAAAACCCCCAAATCCAACTCTGTCCAGTCGTTGTTGTTTTTTTAAACTTAATTTTTATAGATAATAAATTTTATAGATAAACACACCTGCTCAATGACTAACGTGATGTAAGTCTAATGTCAAGTGAATGTAATGTAAAGTATGTGTAATGTAAATAGAAACGTAGCAGAGGAGCTCCACTCACAGCGGCGTGGCGCCTGCCCTCGTTGCGGTCAGCGCCGAGCCACTCCAGCGCCCGCTTCACCTCGAACTCCACGTACTCGGCCGTGAAGGTGTCTCCCGCCATGGACAGGTGGCCCATGGCTTTGGACGCCATCTCCATGACAACAGGGTCGCTGGAGGGCAGCAGGTTGCGCAGGTAGTTGGCGAAGCGGCTGATCCTGGTGGCGTTGCCTCCCTCCACACCGATGAGACTCACTGTGAAATTATTCCTCGATTATTTATCAGATTTCCCGTGATGTCACAGGCCTCAACTGTCACGAATTGTACTAATGTTTATGGATCAGGTTTTTTGAGGCCGATACCGATCCCCGATTTTTTAAATGCATGATCAGCCGATCCAATACCGATGTTCTTTTTTTATAGTAATATAGGCTAGAATTGCCCAGTTTTTCACACATTGCTTTAAAACACAGACCTATATAAAACTTATTACTATAGTGGAAGAGTCACGTGACGGCTCCCGCAAATGGCAAATTTCAAGTTGATCGGCCGATCACCGACCACGTGTTTAGGGCGCACATCGGCCGATCATCAGTGCGTCCCTAGTAATGTCTGTTTTGTAATGGCTGTAATGGGTCTACTTGGGGGGGCAGGATAGTCTAGTGGTTAGGGTGTTTCGACTCCCACCCGAATGATTCTGGGTTCGAACCCCAAATGTCTGCGGTCTATCTGTAGGTATCCGGAGCAAGATGCCTGAACCCCTACCTGCTCATTAATGACATTACTCACTGCAAGTCCCTTCAGACAAAAGCATCAGCAAAATTAATAAATAGCCAAATGACGGTGGATGGTTTTGACCTGATAATCTTAATAACGGAACAAGGACTGACCGATGGCGAGAATTCCTCCCTTCTTCTCGTTCACATCCGAGCTGGACACCAGCTCGAAGATGTGGTGGTTCAGCTCATCGTAGAAGGTGGTGGCTTCGTCCTGGCTCAACTGGGTAAGGATTCACCGTAACACACGAAACACTCTGCGTTAGTGTTGACACATAGCACCCACTGGAGACATCTTTCAAAGACGACAGTATACGTAGGGACTGTGTGGTCGAGGAACACCACAGCCAGGGTGCAAAATTAACGTTTTCAAATGGCTGATTGAAGCCACTCAATAGATGACCACTGTTTTTTGGGGGGCTGGTGAGTAAAGCTGCCACTTGCATATTTGACCCAGCATTTGGATGGTGGCTGCCTGGTGCTACCTCTGTGCCCCTTTAGCAAAGCATGGATGATGTGTGTGGGTTATTCACCTCTCTGAGCTCCGTGGTCACGTAATGCTGCAAGTCCTTTGCAGACTTAGCTCTGGTGTCTTCATTGCGACTCTTGAGCCCACCGACGAACTGCTGCAGCACGGTGGCCGTGCCCGACATGATCACCATGTCGCCGGCCCCCGGTGCTGCAAAAATACACGTTATTAATGTGTGGCCCAGGGCTTCCTCAATGCAACACTATATATACACACACACCCAACTTCACAGTAAACAAACGAGAAAGGAGGAACGACATTAGGCTGCTTTGCCTTAGCCTTAGCAAACTGGCTAACGTCAGTGTCAACGTTAGAAGCTAGCTGGCTGGTGAAACATGTCACCGTTGAACAGAAAAAAACGACGTACAGCACACAAGTACGACACTGTTGTGAGGGTTTGGTGTTGGTGGTGGACGTCAACACGGTGCCAGTGTCTCGCAGGAGGACCAGAGGGGTCCCAGCAGCAGGTGTGCGTCCCCCCTGGTCTCGGCGGGTGAGGTTAGCATGAGAGCTAGCTGAGCCTTGCTTGCGGTGCCGCTTGGTCAGTAGCAGTAGTGAGCCAACGTAGTGGCTGTGCTGCAGTAGCTGTCAGTTATTTTTCACTTACGTTTTCAATCTCGGGCCACTTGATTCGTCTTATTCGTCAATCTCCGCAGGCATCGCACAGCGTAGTGTGTGTGTGTGTGTGTGTGTGTGTGTGGACTAAAGCTAGAGGACACGGTTGTGCAGCGAGGCTGTTGTTGTGGTGAGTCTCGCCCAGCAGGGCTCACGCACCGTGTGCTCAGGGAGCTCGCGTTGCGCGGCGCTGCGCATACTGTGGGAGGAGAGGAGGAGTTCTATTTCATCCCTACTGACCGCCAGAGGCGGTGCTTCAGCACTGGATGTCTCCATCTCGCGCATGCGCAGGTCGAGTGTTTATACCAACAGAGTCACCTGTGACCCCTGATGACACCTGCGAGTCTATATCTTCCGGTGACATCAGAGGATCGGTTCCTTCTCATCTTCTCGCTCGCAGGTAGAGGTATGTCAGTGAGCTTTAGCTCAACTAGGACAAATTCTACGGAACTGCTGCTCGTCGCCGGTAGCCTTGCGACAACTTGTCAGAGCTGCGGGCTGCGCCCTCCAAAGGCTGCGACGGGCTGAAACGGAAGGTTTGGCGCGGTTTGCCGCGGACACTCTTCTGAACCGGTTGGTCTCTACAACTGCCCGAGTACCGGGCATAGTGTATAAGTTTCCTTTCGAGTATTCTCTTTTCGTAAGGTTGGTGAAGCCAGTGTACTCGCTCCCTCTCCCGACATCAGCGTCATTATTACGGGCATTAGCGGTTGCGCTGCCCATTTGATTTATCGTACACCGTTGGTCGTACCGCCTTTTGTTATAGTTCGCTTGTTGGTGAAGCCAGTGTACTCGCTCCCTCTCCCGGCATCAGCGTCATTATTACGGGCATTAGCGGTTGCGCTGCCCATTTGATTTATCGTACACCGTTGGTTGTACCGCCTTTTGTTGTAGCGTGGTTTGTTGGTGAAGCCAGTGTACTCGCTCCCTCTCCCGACATTTGTACTACCGCTACTTCGTTTTGCTGGTTTTACCGGCGTTTTCGTCCGGCCCACTCAGTGCGTATTTCGCTGGCACCTGCGGTTGCGCCAGTTTGATTTTTGCCTCTCTTCATTTGTGCAGCACTGTTGGTGAAGGCAGTGCGCTCGCTCCCTCTCCCAGCATCTGTTAGGTCCTTAGTTTGCGTGTGTTTGCCGGCCATGTTTGGTGAACACTCCTGCTCGGCCTGTCTGGCTTCTCTGCAGCCTGCAGATGGCCATGACATGTGTCCTGCGTGCCTCGGCCCTGAGCACCTGAGAGAGGGGCTCTCGGAGGATTCGTGCATGAACTGCAGCTTCATGCCTCGGGCAGTGCGGGCTTCCAGACTGGCTGAGGTTGAGCACCTGCTGGGCCAGGCGCCGGAGCCGGGACAGTTGACCCCAGCTCAGCAGTCGCCGGCTCAGCCTAGCCGACCCAAACGGCGAGCGGCTGAGACTGCGGGTGCCTCCTCCGGGAGGAGGGCCAAGGAGTCTAAACTGGCCTCCAAGGTGGACCAGTTGACTGAGGAGCTGAACCAGATGAAGTCCCTCGTCCTGGCCATCCGGTCTGGAACTGGTGCAGGCGATACGGGTGCTCCTGCTCCTCCTACGGTTGTGTTCGAGCCGGAGGATGATGCGCTCTCCCTGGTGGCATCAGCCACCGAGTTCGCTGACTATGTGACTATGGGGCGGACACGGTTCCCCAGGACACCGCCTCCGGGCACGGCTCTGGAGTGAGCTCCCGCTCCTCGGCCCACAGTGGTGGTACTGGGTCCGAGGATAATTCGATGGGTGCCATCATTCGTATGGCCCTGGCCCGCCTGCAGCTGGACGTCCCGCAAGTTCAGCCGGCTCCCGCCAGCGCTTTCTTCAGGCGTGGCCCAGCCCCGGCCACCTTTACGGTGCCTCCGTCGGAGGAATACCTTAGGGAGCTGCACGCGTGCTGGTGGGATACTAGAGCCCTCTCTCATGCAACATCGGATGGCCGGACCCTAGCCGCCATGCAGGATGCAGCCAAGTTTGGCTTGGCCCGCATGCCAGCGGTTGAGCCGGCTATAGCGGCTCTCGTCGTCTCGCCAGAGGAGGCTCTGAGGCCAGACGCTAGGTGTCCTCGCCCTCAGTGTAGGGTTACGGATGACCTGCTCGCTAAGGCCTATGATGCGGCAGCACGCATGGGACGCATCAGCAACTCCTTGTCCCATCTGATGCTTGCTCTCTCAGCATCACTGCAGGAGGCTACGGTGGACGCGTCCGTCCACAGCTTTGGTGACGCGTCTCTGCAGGCCTTCGCCTTGATGTCCAGGGAACTGGGGCGACTAATGTCCACTCTTGTCCAGGCTCGCCGCCAGGTGTGGCTGGCACAGTCCCCTCTCACTGAGACATGCCGGAGAACCCTCCGCAGTGTCCCCGTGGAACCTGGGGAGGTTTTTGGGTCGGCTGCTCTGGAGGCGCTTCAGCGCACAGTACAGGCCAGACAGACTCGACAGCAGCTCTCTGGGCTTCACAGGAGTATGCCTCCTCCCAGCAGGCCAGGGGGCTTTGCAGCTCCCCCCCAGCGCCGCTCGCGGCCACAGACCTCCCCCAGTGGCTTTCGAGCCCCTCAACGGCCGCCCTTTAGGCAGCCTCAGACCTCGGATGCTGCCCGTCGTCCCCCCAGGGCCTCCAGAGGCCGGGGGACCAGGCGCTGAGAGCCCGGGGCCGGCCGTCGGCGGTTTTTCCCAGCAGCAGCTCAGTTACTGGGCTGCTTCCACCAGGGACCCGTGGGTGATTTCCACCTTGACCCACGGGTACAACATTCAGTTCCGACGCCGGCCCCCAGCCTTCGGCCGGGTCAAGATGACCATCATTCAAGACCCGGCAAAAGCTCATGCCCTCAACCAGGAGCTGTCTGCCCTCCTGGACAAGGGTGCCATCGAGCCGGTAGACCCCCTGTTACCACCCGGGGGGTTCTATTCGACTTACTTTCTTGTCAGAAAGAAAGATGGCGGACTCCGCCCAGTCCTCGACTTGAGGGGACTCAACAGATTCCTCAAGGTCCTGAGATTTCACATGCTCAGCACTGCAGAGGTGCTACGTACTGTTGCCGAGGGGGAGTGGTTTACCTCAATAGACCTGAAGGATGCATATTTCCATGTCCCCATAGCGCCACACCACAGGCAATTTCTGCGGTTCGCTTTTCAGGGCCACCATTACCAGTTCAGGGTGCTCCCGTTCGGCCTCTCCCTCTCTCCACGGGTGTTCACCAGGTGTGTGGCAGCAGCACTTTCACCCCTGCAGTCGCGGGGCGTAAAGATTCTGCCTTACCTGGACGACTGGCTGGTCTGTGCACCATCCCGGTCTCAGGTGACCCGGGACACTGCAACCCTTCTCTCACATGTGGCCCAGCTCGGTCTCAGGGTCAATTTCCAGAAGAGCTGCCTGGTTCCCTCACAGAGTACTCTCTTTCTGGGAATGACTCTGGATGCCATTACCATGAAGGCCTGCCCATCACCCAGGCGTGTGGACGACATCCTCCGCCTCCTTCTCCTCTTTCGGGAGGACCGCTGTCTGCGCTATGTCCTGTATATGCGCCTTTTAGGCAAGCTGACGGCTGCTGCCACGGTGGTCCCCTTAGGGTTGCTGTCACTGCGTCCCCTTCAGAGGTGGCTGAACAGCTTCCACCTGGATGCCAGGCGGCACCGGCACAGGAGACTCAAGTCGTCACGGCGTTGCCTCCTTGCCCTGGCTCCATGGAGGGAGAGGTCTTTCCTCCTTCAGGGCATGCCCATGGGCTCCATTGCATCCCGTCGGGAGGCTGTCACAACAGATGCCTCCCTCTCAGGGTGGGGCGCTGTGTGGCAGAACCGGACAGC